GCGGATGAAGGTGGGTGTGCTTACAAAAAAGCATGAGAGAGATCCCTGGGGTGTGTGAAATGTTCAGCACCTTGACTGAGGTGATGGGTGCATGAATTTAAATGGGTAAAATTGCACAGAACTACACACACACACATACACACACACACACACACACACAGAGGAACACAGGTGAGACTGAAAAACTCTACATAGGATGAATGATTGTACATTGGTTATGATATGCTATAGTTTTGAAAACTGCTGCATAGGGGAAACTAGGTAAAGTATACCTGGAATCTCTGGGTAATGGATTAATAGTCAATAAAGACATTATTTATTAGGAATGTAATCTCTACCGATCATTGCTTATAATTGCATGGGAAGCTGTGATGATTTCAATAAAAAATTTAAGTCTAGAAAGAGCACCCAGCCCTCCGTTTGGGTAGCTCTATCATGACACCTGCTACTTCAAGGGCAGAGCGCCCTGCACCTAGCGTTGATGAGACTCGAAGGCCGCCATGTGGAGGTTTGCCAGTGAGCGCTTTGTAGTTGCTTGGTCCTAGGCCTTTGGGATATTGCTGGTTTATGTTAAATTTCTTTCCTTTCCCAAAGAAAATGGAAGAGCAAGTTTCTCCTTACTTGGTGTCTCCTATATTATCTTTGTTTTCTGGATATTTGTAGGAGAACATACCAAGTTTGATAAGTTGTGTGGAACAGACCAGAGGACTCCCTGGACTGAGCCCTCTGATTCCAACAGCTGTTAGTGGAGAGCCCCCTAGTGGCCATCTATCTGGTTTGCAGCTTCTCACAAGGCTCCTGGAATATAAGCAACCTGTTGGGAGACTAGGGTCAGGAGTTATTTAGAAATCTTTCCAGTGCAGGTCCAGCATGAGCCCACGTTTTGGTGTAGTAGGGTGGACCAGTTGGGTCCATAAAGGGAAAGATCTCACTGACTGAGTTTGTTCACAGCACCTGGGTTTTGAGTGAGCTGATGCAAAAGTTGTCTGGTTGGGCACACTCAGGGCTATTGAAATAATTTCCTCTAGTTGGGCAATAGAATGGAAATTCAAGTCCATGAACTGTGCAGCTGCGTAGATAGGAGGTATTTTACTCACCAAGTTGAGCTATGATGTGCTGTCTCATCTTGGAGAGCAACATCTGATGGGATGAATGGAAGTTCTTGAATACTGCTTTGGTTGGACTAGAGTAGAGTTTTCCATCACTGGAAATACACCCTGCAAAAGACCTGGGAAGGGGCAGGTGGGCTGGTGCTTAGCCAAAAGGGCAAGGAAAAGATTCTGGTCCAGAAAAGAACCGCTCTTCCAGAAAATCGTCTAAGTACTGTTGAGGTGACTTCAACAACCTCAATCTATTTTGGTGCATTTGGGGACTGTCATCCCAAGATGCTATTTTGGCATAGGAAGCCAGATGGACCTGGTGAAGGACACAGAGACGGTGGTGTTAGAAGGGAGCCTGTGAGTCACTTGAAGTCTCCTTAGGAAGAGTTAGGAGTGCACCAATAAAGGAAGCCCTCGGAGGTGGTATTTTCCAACAACTTGGGTAGTAGCTGGCTGCATCGGGTGCCATGTGTGTGGGCTAGAGTTTGATGTTACTATGCTGGATGAATCATAATTAGTATACTCTGTGTTGGAAGCTGCGATCCAATAGTTCACACACTTTAGTGCCCAAGTGTTCTGGGATGACATTTTTAAAGGGACACACTCAGTGGGTACCACACCCTACCAAGTGCAAGGATTCTGTAGACATCTGAAATAGAAAGGTCAGCCATGGTTTCTGCCACCAGACTCTCACAAGGTTGTTGAGGATATACATCATATACAAAAGCAAAGCTGACTAGAGGTACAGGCAGGTGGAAATGTGGCAGAGCTGAGTGAGGGATCACTCACACAGAATGGCCAGGCAGGGAGGAATTATCAGCAGTAGGACAGAAAGGAATTATTAACATGAGGAAGAATAGAGCTGCCAAGATGGGAAGTTGCTTCAGTAAAGATGCAAAGGCAGTAGTCCAGTGGGAAACTGCATTGGCTGACAGGGACAGAAGCCCAGCATGGCTGATTAACCTGCTATTTTTCTCTCAAAACCTGGCATCTTGAAGCAGGTGACTTCATGATGCCTGGGTAACTTCATGATGCCATAATGCCACTATTCTACTACTGTCTTTCTGCTCATTCTTCTTGGATACATGGCTTTGGTCCTAAAGGATTTTAGCCTTGTGTTCTATTCATGAGATGGCCAGTCACTCCATCTTGGCACAGGGATTGGAGGACAAAGGACAAACGCATGCACCTCTGGAGTCTGCTCCTTGCAGAAAGCCTCCTTTGAAGCATTGCCCAGAGATTTCTGCACTCTCCTAGAATCTGTTATGTGGCTGCCCCTCCCACTAGTTAGAAGAACTAGCTGTGCGCATTACCGCCCAGAACAAAATAGAGGCTCTACTGGCAAAGACATGGCACAGTCTGGATGGTGTGTAGGATAGGTTAGAACATGCGAGGGAGATTGGGAGTCTAAAATTTGAGTGGGGAGTCGTCTGTGCAATAGTTTTCATGTTGGATTGTGAAAATGGCCATACTCCCAAAACTGCTGTACAGATTCAATGCAATTCCCATTAAACTACTGTTAGCATACCTCACAGATTTAGAGAAAACATGCCTTAAATTCATCTGGAACCAGGAGAGACCCAGAATAGCAAAAGCAATCCTGGGCAACAAGGACAAATCAGGTGGAATCACAATCCCTGACCTGAAATTATACTACAAAGCTACAGTAATAAAATCAACCTGGGACTGGCTAAAAACAGACCTGAGGATCAATGGAGCAGAATGGAAGAAACAGACACAGCCACAAACACACTCAGCCATCCAATCTTTGAAAAAGGTGCCAAACAAATTCACTGGAAGAACAATACCCTCTTTAACAAATGGTACTGGAAAAATTGGCTTGCTACCTGCCAAAGACTGAAAATAGACCCAAGTCTATCAACGTGCACCAAACTCAAGTCAAAATGGATCACAGATCTCAATATTAAAACAGAAACACTAAATCTATTGGAAGAGAAAGTAGATAAAAACCTTGAAGACATAGGGGTAGGCGGAGAGTTCATGAACAAAAACCAAACTGCACGTGAAACACTTGAAAGAATCAACACCTGGGATCTCATCCTACTGAAAAGTTTCTACACATCTAAAGAAATCACCAGCAGAGTAAAAAGAAAACCCACAAACCTGGAAAAAATTTTAGCTGATTGTCCCTCAGACAAAGGGCTTCTATCTAGAACATATAAAGAATTAAAAAATATCAGCCCTCCCAAATTCAAAGACTCAATCCAAAAATGGGCAGCTGAGATGAATACACACTTCTCAGATAAGGAGATACAAATGGCAAATAAATACATGAGAAAATGTTCAACATCATTAGTTATTTGAGAAATGAAAATTAAAATAACATTGAGATTCCATTAAGTAAGTGACTAGCATTAAGAAATCAACCAATAACAAATGCTGGCAAGGCTGTGGAGAAATAGAAACTCTTCTCCACTGCTGGTGGGAATGCACACTTGTGAAACCACTGTGGAAATCAGTTTGGAGATTCCTTAGCAAACTAGGAACAAAGGTCCCATTCAACCCAGCTATTCCCCTTCTGGATATTTTCTCAGAAGATCTGAAAACATCATAGCACAGCAATATATGTGCACCTATGTTCATAGCAGCACAATTTGTAATTGCTAAATTGTGGAAGCAACCCAAATGTCCATCCACTGAGGATTGGATAAGAAAATTGTGGTACTTTTATAGAATGGAATATTATGCAGCTATAAAGAAAGATAAACTTGAGGCTTTTATAGGCAAATGGTCACAACTAGATACCATACTCATAAGTGAATAAGTCAGACCTGCATGTGCAAGCACCACATTTTTCACTAGTGTAAAACCTGAAAGAGTTAATATAAACTTGGAGGTATAATAGATATTGTGAAATGATAGGAAGACACTCCAGGGTAAAGGGCAACTGGGATGTGGGAAAGGAGAAGGGAAAGAAGGAGGAATTTTGTATGTATGTATATACAGGATAGTTAACATAGTTGATCTACTGTCTTCTATTTCTTTGCTGAAAGAAACTGAGTCATCGATTGATCAATATTGCATGTCTCTATCTTTTCATGAGAAACCACTTTGAAGATATCAATATGTAATACAACAAGCATTGTTAATCTCCTACCACTTTGTTTGTCTGTACTGTATTGTCTGTACTGTTCTTTTGCTATTTTGTAAAAGGTTGTCCGTCTGTTTATGTTTCCCTCCTTTTATTTTTAAAATAAAAATAATAGTTTCTATGTTGGGCTGTAAATCACTTATTGATTCTTTGTAAATGTCTTTTTATGCCCCCAAAGTGGTACAGAATGTATGAGGTACATTTAGTTGAAAGAAACTTTGGATGGTTTCTGCTGTATCCTTTTCCCTTCAGCTGGGATGTGTCTTCAAGTGTCTGCAGGGTGCACCAGGCACTGCACAGTCTCTTGGGGTTTGCGCAAAGGCTCTGACTGTATCCTCAATCTCACATGGTCTAGGTTTACTGATGCTCAGACTTCAGCTCCCTGCAGTATTTCTCATCTTTTTCTGGTGGTGGCTGGTAAGAGACTTCAGATGCACTGGTTAATAAATGTATTTCCATGGTCTGTGTGCTACCATGACCCATAAAGTTTACAGTCTGATGCTGTGGTTCTAAGTGCCTGGCTGTTGTCACCCACCTTACTTCTTCTGCTCCCATTTTTTATTCAAGATATAATTTTAGTCTGTATATTTATGTAAATTATATTACCAACCTAACATCATAAAGACATAATCAGAAGTATTTAAGCCTTGATCTGGAGAAGAGCAATGGTTTATACTGAGTTGCCTACTCTGTTGCACTAGGTTGCTGAGCTGACTTGCTTTAATGATCGTTACATGGATGTTTTAGTCTGTTTGGGTTGCTATAACAAACTACCACAGACCAGGAGCTTTGAATAACAGAAATTTCTTTCTCACAGTTCTGGAGACCAGAAGACTGCTGCATGCCTGACTTCCAGTGAGGGCTCTCTTCTCATTTGCTGACTTCTTGGCAGTAGATGACAGGAGCTCTATGAGGTCTCTTTTGTGAGGATTCTACTGCCATTGATGAAGGCTCCTCTGCAGTGTTGCCAAAAGTGTCTATTCTGATGACAGCAGGTATAGCTTCCTGCCTGGTGTGGCCAGCACATGAGCACAAACTCTTGGAGCTGTGGGATAAACCTGAGTTGGGGTGGGAGGGTTCCCATGCTCCCTGGCTCCTACAGGGGTGGTGACAACTTCCTGCAGATTGGGACTCCTGGAAGTACCATCTTCTCCTTTTCACATTTCCAGTCTGTATAACAGCTTGGTAATATCATACTAAATCATACCAATACCTTGAATGATTTCTGTTTTCATCTGCGGAAACCGAGGGACACAAACACAGTCAGGCCTGCTTCTCTGAAACCTGATAATCAGAAAACAAGAAATCAGACACAGAAGAGACTAAGTTGGTGTCTGGATCAGTAGAAAACAAGATAACCTTAAAATAGTACATAAGGTGGTGACCTGGTGGTTTTAAACTCTGATAAGGAGTATTCTCCTTGGCATGGTGTTGTAGTCAGGGTTTGAAAGGGAAACCATTTAATACAGGACACATAATTTATAAGATTATTTTATAGTAGTCACCCAAAGAGTCAAATACAAAATTGTGAGGGAGATCTGTCCATACACTAGAGACCCAAAGAATCCAGCTGAGGGCCTGGATCCCATGGCAATGTCCTGCATAAGTCCAGCTGAAGACCTAGAGCCCACAGCAATGCCCCCATGAGTCCAGCTGGAGGCCAAGAGCCCACAACAATGTCTCATGCAAATCTGTGTCAAGGATCTGCACTGGGAAGGCCCAGAGGTCAGTGGTGGAAGCTAGCAGGTCTGGGGGGGGGGGGCATCTGAACTGGAGCCAGGAAGCAATGCTAAAATGCAGAGCTCCCCCCAAAAGTACCACAGCCATCCTCGGTGACAATGAGGTCCCGAGCTCCTCCAATGGTGAGAACAGCTGAGTCCGTATCAGGACAGTCTGCATGACAAACTTCTCCAGGAGAACCAACAGCCTCCCTTCTTCCTTTCCAGTTCTCCTTTTTATGTTGCTGGCAAAATCCTCAGGTGGGCCCTCCACAGCCAGCATCACGCTGATTCAGTTCAGCTGGGTGTCACAAGTTGACCGCCAGTCATCAATCCGCCACACATGGGTTGCTGAAGTTCCTGAACTTCTCACGAAGGAGAGACTAAGGACGTGGGGCCAATCCACCAGCCCCTCCCTCGGTTTAATGCTTTTCTGTCAACCCACTGGGATGCCTAAACATTAAACAAACAACCCCAGATTATCATTTTGCACTTACCTCCTCAAATTATATTGTTGATTTTAGCCCATACGCTGATCTTGTAGTTTTTCCTTTCTTTAAAATCGTCTTTTTGCCTTTCCAGGCTGTTCTGGGATGTTTCTCTAAACCTTTATTCTAATTATTATCTTTGAGTCTTTTATTGTTTCTATCATGTTTTAAAGCTCCAAGACCTTTCCTATCTCTTGAATATCAATTTTCTTGTGGCATATTTTTCATGTATGAAATATTTACTTTCCATCGATGCTTTTGAGAATGTTAGTGATTGTTGAAGTTTTCTCTTGCTTTTGCATTTTCTCTTTTGAACACCCCCTGTTTTGTGAGGACTTGTATTAGTTATTTCTTTCTTTTTTATTTTAAAGAGAAAAGAACCAATAAAAACATGATATAGAATTTCCAACAAGATAGTAGGGGATTAACAATGATTAATACATTATATACTGTAATCTTCAAAGTAGCTGCTCAGATTACAAGATACAGGCATGAAAAACTGATCAAACAGCATAATCACAAACCTTTCTTTTCTTTTCTTTCTTTCTTTTTTTTTTTTTCCAGTACTGGGAATCGAACTCACGACATTGCACTTGCCACGCAGGCGCTGTGCTGCTGAGCTAAATCCCTAGCCCCCAAACCTTGCTTTTCAATGAATAAAAATTAGTAGTATAATTATCTTAGCTATCTTGTGTGTATATATATATATTTTTTTTTCTTTTCCCTTCCTTCTTTTCTCCCTTCCCGAATTCCAGTTGTTCTTTTGAGCAGTTTCTTTCCATTTCACAATATCTATTGCCCATTTTGGATCTTATTTACTCCTTCAGTTTCCTATACTAGGGACACAATACAATGTTTACACATGTGAGTCTGATTTATTTCACTTATGAGTATGGTCTCAAGTTGCATCCTTTTACCTATAAAAGCCTCTAGTTTATCTTTCTTTATAGTTGAGTAGTACTCCATTGTATAAAAATACCACATCTTTTTTATCCTGCTGAGATAATACCTGACACTGATAACTGAAAGAACGTTCTGTCTTGGCTCACAGATTCCATGGGTTCGGTTCATTGTTGACTGGATCTAAAGCAGAAACTGCACAGTGAATGTACATGGCAAAGAAAGCTGCTCACCCCACAGTGGCTAGCAAGCGGAGAGCCAGCGAGAAAGCAGCTGGAAGAACACATCCTTCAAAGTTATCCTCTCAGTCACCCAACTCGTTCAACCAGGCCCCACTTCTAAATGTGAAAGTTTTAAGGGACTTTTTAGGTATAAACCCAAACATTCTCCACTAGCCACCAAAAGGCTCATTTACATATCTTTATTGAAATCGCATGTAGTCCATCTCTAAGAGTTGCCAAAGTCTTAACATTCCCAGCACTGCTGAAAAGTTCAAGTTTAACGTCTCCTCTGACACTTAAGGCAAAATCTTAGCTGTGAGCCCCTGTAAAAATAAAAAATGAAGTTAAACACTGTTGGTGGCACAGGGCAAACACCCCCAATCCAAAAGGGAAGAGTAATGGAATAGACAGAAATTAGACCAAAGTAAGACCGAACCACAGCAGGGCAATCGCAGGATCCTGTACGAGGCAAGTTGCGGTGAAATGTGAGTTGCAAAAGGCTTGGGCACTCCTCTCTTGGAGAGGCTCCACTCATAACCTGTGGGTTTTGTTAGCAGATGTCCCACATTCTTGGCTTCTCTCGCTTCCTGGGGTCTCCAACTGTACTTTTGGCTTCATTCTCAAAGCTTCATGCACTCCCTTCTCCTGGGCTCCTGGCAGGGACTGTGACTTGTTACACAGTTTTGCTTCATCTCCAGGCCTTGTTCTGAAATCTGGGCAGAAACTCCTGTGACCTTGTCTTAGTTACTTTTCTCTCATTGCTGAGACAAAATACCTGACATCCAAGGTTAAGTCAGGAAAGTTTTATTAAGCTCACAGTTCGTAGAGCTTCAGTCCATAATCAGCTGGCTCCAAGGCAGGGTGGTATGCGGCAGGGGCAACAGTTCAAGGCATCAAAAGACAACAAAAGCAACAAGAGCAACAGGGGAGGGAGAGCAAGCCTGTTTCCCTCCCTTATACTGTAAGCAGGCTACCTGCCTATCTCCCTGCCCTCCTTTTGCACAGAATGAGGATGTTTACAAAGTGAGGACCCCGACCCCCGCTGAGTGGCTTACTTAAACTTCTAAACTTCTCAAGTTGACACAAAATATCAACCATTACAATCCACCTCTTGTGGACCAGACCCATTTCTTTAAACTGACTTTCAGATAGAAAGACATGCTATTCCTACCGTTTCACAACTTGAACATTATAACATAGGTTTAACAATCCTTAAGAACCAGTATCAAGTCTATCAATATTATATTACATTAGAACCATAATGTTCTACCTCTGGCCCCTGAAAGGCTCATGTGCATCCCTTTATGCGAAAGGAATTTAGTACATCTTTAAGAGTTGCCAAAGTCCTAATAGTTTTCTGCACTGCTGAAAAGTACAAGTGCCAAGTTTCCTTCAAGATGCAAGGCAAAGTCTTAGCTGCAAGCCTCTTTACAAGTGAAAAGTTAAACACTTCCAACATTCAATGGCACAAGATAAATATTTTCATTCCAAAAATTACAAACAGGGTAATACAAAGGATTGGGACTAAAGCAAGTCCAAAATCCAGCGGGCTAACATTAAGTCCTGTAGTTCACCGTGCAGCATCTGAGGCAATCTGTGGCCAATTGTGAGTTTCAAAGGGTTTTGGTGGCTCTGCCCTTATGGCACTGTGGGTGGATGATGCAAAATGGATGATGTCAAGGTTTGCCACCAGTTTGAGCAGTAGGTGGATCCTTTTGGACATCGCTGGAGTGACCTCTGAATACATGGACGGCTAAATTCAGGAATACACTTCCCTTGTAGCCCTGAATAAGCTGGCATCTCTGGGATTCTCTTCTCAAATGAAAGATTTACTGTTTTGTACCCTTGCTACAGCAATGGATGGAGTCTTAGTGATTTCTGAAATGCTGTCAAGCCATGTTTATTCATGTCCCAGTACAAAGCACTTGACTTCTTTTTAATGCTAATCTTTTGAGCAACCATGCTGTCCTTTGCCACAACTGTTCAGATGCTTCCTTTCTGGAGAAACTGCAAACTTTTCGAATCATTCAGCTGCAATTTGCTCCTCATTTTCACTGCTGATCTTGCTAAGAGTAGTCAGCAGTACCCACGCCACAGCCCAAATAGTGGGCTGGCTTGAAATTTCCTCTGTCAGGTTCCTTAGTCTACTGCTCGTAACCTCAGACTCTCACCGTGGGTCAGGGCATGTGCAAAATGTAGAGAAGTTTCTATCAGATCATAACACAGATGGTCTCTAGTCCAACTGTCAGTAGAGTTCTTATAACTGAAACCTCTTGAATATTCATGTCAGCATTCTGTTCTTCTGAGCTCTGACTAGTGTCACACAGCAAGCACTGCCTACAACATTTTAGTACTTCTCTAGCCCACATTGCCAGACCTTTTTATCTTCTGCAAACCATCTCCAAAGGTTCCTGAACCATATGGAAAGATAGAATCACGGCAATGACCCCACTCCCTACACCGATTTTCTGTCTCAGGTACTCTCCTGCTGCTGAGATATCTGACACCTGCAATTTAAAGAAGGAGAGGTTTATATTGGCCCACAATTTCAGTGAGTTTAGTCCATGGTAAGCTGGCTCCAAGGCAGAAACAGCACAGTAAAAGTGCATGATGGTAGACAGCTGCTCTCCCCTTGGTGGACAGGAAGCCAAGCCAGCACGAGGAGCCAAGGATGAGGATACGCCCTTCCAAGTAATGTTCCCAGTGATCTTCTGCCTAGGCCCCACCTCCACAGGTGAGAATTTTGGGGGACATTTTAGTTCTAAACTATGAGGGCTCAATATGTGAGTGGTTAAAACAGATGCATTTGGTTTGGAAAAGACAAAGGACCCCCACAAGTAAGAGAGAGTGAAGAGATAAGAAATGACACAAACACTGTAGGAGAAAAACAGGCAACACTGAAGAAGTTCAAGTGAGAAAAATCTCAGCTCGGAAAAGTAGGAGAATTTGTTCCTCAAATTGCAAGGTATTGTAAGGACAAGAGCTAAAGATGAGAAGGAAGCATTTGGAATATCTGCAATGCAGGAATCAACAAATGCTCAAAGCACTGCTCACCTGAAGTCCAAGAGCTGAAACAAGCCGCTGGCCCCATCAGCATAGTCTGATGACCTTGTGGAGCTAGTCGTGGCCAGGTGGGTGCAAGCAAAGAGAGACCTGCTGCAGGGTCACGGTCAGGGGTCAGGAAAGGGGCAAAGGAAAGAGACAGCTACGGGGTCAGAAGGTGCACAGGGCCGGGCCAGGAGACTGGCTGCAGGTCTGCACAGGAAGGGACAGAAAGGCGTCTGGGGAAAGGAGGCAGCCCCTGTTGAGAATCAGTGTCCTTAAAGTTTATCAGGTGATGCATTCAGTCCCACGGGCACAAAACAGCTCACAGGGATGCAGGAGAGCAAAGGAATGCAAATCTGGCAGTTAGTCTGGCAGTCTGGATTCAAGTCTTAGGTTGGCGGGTCTCGCGGGAGTCAGCTAAGCAGCCCTCTTCGTGGTTGGGAAACAAAGATGTTGGATTTTGATTTGCAACACCCCCTTTGGCTTCGCAAACATGAATTCTAGAATAGATTGCAAAGACGGAAATTTCTTTTACAACGTATAGCATCGGTCCCACGAAGAAACCCCTTGCCTGGCAACTCACCTACAAAAACCCCTGAGGTGTAACACACCTGGCGACGCCCAGCCTGCTGCAGAACCCTCTCTCCGAGGAAAAAAATGTAGACCATTACATCATTCCGCTTGGTCTCCCCGCACCAGCGCGCTCTTGCTGTCGACTACCACCAGATGGCACTGTTGGGCCAGGATCGAGCACAATCCCCAGTCTGGAGGTCCTGGGAAAGCCTGACCTGAATCTCAAAACTTCCCCAATCACCACTTTTGATTCAAAAGCAAAACAGCAGAAAAATGCTGCACCTCCCAGGGAGGCCAGAGAATAGCATCTCACCGTACTGCGTGGCCCGTGGGCAAGTCACGGTGGTTATTTAAAGTTTGATTTCAAGAAAACGACTTCAAAACGCAGAGAATTGGGTGCGCGCGCGCCGGGCCAGGCGTCCCTCCCGCAGCCCCGACGCGGAGCTCCCGCGGCCGCAGCGAGCGGCTGGATGCGGCGCGCGGAGGTGGCCGCTCCGGGGCCCACGCAGCGTCTGTCTGCGCAGCGCCCAGATGGCTGGGGCTGGAGAGGCCTCCAGAAAGCTGCGACGCGCTTGCGTTTCCCCAACCCTGGCCCTGCCACCCTCCCTCGCCACCCCAGCCCTGGGCTGCGGCACCGGCTGGCTGCGGCCACCCCCGCAGCTCCAGGGGCGGTGCGCTTGGTTTGCAAGGTGGCCAGCAGGTGGCGGCACGGAGACCGGTCCTAGGCGGGAGGCCCGGCCCGCTGGCGCCGGCCTGTTAGACTCGAGGGGGCCCTGAGAACCCAGGCTGTGCCCGCCACTGTTATGCTGGGGGCAACGGGGATAACAGCCTGGCCGAACCCCGCGTCTGCGGCGGTGCTTGCGCCCCGGGCGCGGTGAGGGGCGGGGAGGGCGATGCCTCGGAGGCGCTGCAGGTGAGCACTGAAGACCTGCGCCCTGGGCCTTCGCACCCCGGGCCTTCCGAGGTCTCTTTCTGGGCCCAGCAGCCCTGTCGCCCACGCGCCCAGCCCCGGGGCGCGGCTCTGCACCCACCCCGCCGCGCGTGCTCCCTGTGCCGGCCGAGGTCGCCTCTCCGCCGCAGCTGGGCCGCGCACAAGAAGAGGCTGATGAATTTTTCATCGCTTTCCCCTGGGCTATGGATCTTAAAGCAGTTTCCCAGGCCAGAGCCATTAAGGACCAGACCGTGCCGGGGAGGCCCCTCCCCCGACCGACCACGCTAATTACCCACCCCGGAGGGGACTTGGGTTTCTCTCCCCAGGGCTCTGTTTGCGTGTCTTTGGGCCTCGTTTTGATCGCCAGGCGTGGGGTGAGGGGCGAGGAAAAGCGCCTGTCCAGTGTAAACACGTTTGCAGAGAGCATGCCTGGGCTTGGCCAGAAGAAATAGCCGGGGGTGTCATATCCCTGCCTCACAAAGGGGTCCAGGGGCTCCGGGCCTGGGACTTGAAAACGGGGGTGGGGGAGTTGAATCCAAGCAAGAAGCCGGCTGGTTGGTGGAACCAGTGGCGGGCTGTGTAGGGGCGGGGTGGGGCAGAAGGTCCTGACAAGGCCCAGGAGACAACCACCTGGCCAGAGCAGAGGCTCGAAGAGAGCTGGGAACCTTGAACTTGGGGAGGGGCGAACCCTGGGCGCCAAGGGTGCGGACATTCAAGGGGTACCCGTCAGACCACCCATCGCATAGGTAGGTCTACTAGGTGTCAGGGACTGGCATTTTCTTAAATCTGCCCTGTTATATAAATGCGAAAGTAAGGATCTACAAGGGAAGGATCTACCTTAGAGCGGTAGAGAAAGATATTTCTCTTGCTTTTTGGGGGATGGGGTGGGGTATTTTCTACCTAGGTCTTTTGCCATGTAGAATTTTTTGCACATAGTTGTATGATCACAAGCTATACAGGCATCTCTAGTGTTATGTTAAATATTGTACATTGAGATATCTTAAAGATATGATTTTTTTGTTATCAAATTTAATATGCACCTTTGTAAAACTTTGGAAAATAAAGAAATATTCTGAATACCTTGCCGTACTTCCGGTGGGTTTCCTTAAAGTATCTTTTCTCGCTGTGGATGTTTCTTTCATTTCCTCGAGACCAGACCCAGTGTATTAACGTTTAAATGTGGCTGTTAAACTGACAGGAGACTGCGGGAACGCTTTCTTTGTCTCGAGCTGGGAGGCATCTCAAGGTTTCTTCACCTCAGTCTTCACCTGCCATGCCAACACTTGATAGGAAGGAAGCCAGTGAAGTGTAAGGACCAGCATTCCAAAGCTGCGCCCCCAAAGTCCTCCTGCTCTGCCTCAGCTTCCCACATCCTCCATTCTGCTATGACCAGGGCTCGGGGCCAGGAAGCCCCTGTGTGTCACCCATTCAGAACTTCTATGCGAGCCTTGCTAGGCCGCTGTTCTCATTAGGATCTCGCTCAGAGCATTCATTACGTTAATTTTACACCTGTGACAAAGGGCAGGCATCAGCCCCCTGTTAGAGTTTTCCTCTGAAATACTGAGTGCAAATACAGGGCCACATCGCCAGAATTTTTAAGAAAAGGTGTTTGTGAACCAAGAATTTTTGTCCTATGTCAATTTTGCTTCCACATGTAAAGGCAACAGAAAGATATTTTCACTAAATAAGAAAATGTGCCACCTGGTATATTTCTTGGGGGGAAAGAAGGGGGAGGATTTCCATTTCTGGCTGTGAAGGAGTAGTTTGCATCAGAATAACCCTTGTGCTAGAGAACTGTGAAAGCCGAATCAAGTGAAATATGAAACAGTAGCCTGCGAGCATCAGAGAGAAATCGAGGTGGCTGGATTGGAAGGACCGAGAAGTTGGGAAGGAGAGAAATGCTTTGAAGTGAGTCCTTTACAGCTCTCCTGTCCCCTGGGATCATTTGCTGACTCATGCACTGTCATGGGGTGTGGAATCTAAACAGAAAGTGACAGCTCATTGCTTGCACAGTCAAAGAGATTGGAGTGCAGGATGCAAGGGTGCCAGGACTTGATGGGCCATGAACACAGAGAAAAGGGAACCCAAGGAGATTGAGTCTGCGTGCAGTTTCTCTGCAAACCACTTCCTGATCGCTAAGCTGTGCATGTAGAGAGCAAGATGCCAAGAAACCAAACAAAAGCAGCTGCTAAGAGGCTTAAAAGCTAAGCCAAGAGGCTGGCACGCTCATCATTCTGGGTGGATGTAACTTGCAGTCCATGCTGCCAAGGACGAGCAGTAAACATCTCACTGTCAACTGATGCCCCAAGACCAAACCACAGGAATAAGGAGAAATACAGGAGAGCCAGCCTCACACCACAGGCGACATAAGCTCTAGGACCGTGGATACATGTTGGTATATATCTGCCTTGATTCTTGCCAGGGTGCACTCAGGCTGTCTTCTGCTACAAGTGCATACAGTTGCTCTGGAGGGAGCCAATATGTTGCAGTGCTGGACAAAGTTTTGTACGCAAACCACAGGTACCAAGCAAGAAATCAGGAGGGTAGGAGGTGCTGGGCAGCAAGATGGAGCAAAGGGGAGTTGATGCTCTGTCAAGGAAGGAGCTGTCCCAGGAGAGCAGTAGATGCTTGTTTAGGGCCAGATGTGGTCCATTTGGGAAGCAGAGATGGCCGGAGCCATTAACTTTGCCCAGAGTCCTGAGTGTCTGCAAGGCGACCCGCTTGAGGGTCAGAGCTAGCTCAGTTGCAAAAGCTCAGTTGGGAAGAATGCTTTGTAAGACAATTTCTCACAGAACTAAACATACTCTTACCACATGAACCAGCAATCAAACTCTTTGGTAGGTACCAGAAGGTAAAATCTTGCACATATGCGTATGCGCGCGTGAACGCGCCCGCACACACACACACACACACACACACACACACTGGTATGCAGATGTTAATGACACTTTTATTCATAATTGCCAAAACTGGGAAGCAATGAAGATGTCCTTCAGGAAGTGAATGTATAAGTAAACTACGAAGCATCCAGAAAACAGAATAATATCCATAGCTAAGAAATCAACTCTCAAGCCACAAAAAGGCATGGAGGAAACTTAAATGCACACTACTGAATGAAAGGAGCCTACCTGAAAGGTGTTCTTCACACCCACTGCCTGATTCCAACTAGATGCCTGTCTGGAAAAGACAAAATTGTGGTGACCATAAAGAGGTCAGAGGTTGCCAGGGGTCAGAGGAGAAAGAAACATAAACTGACAAAACACAGAGCATTTTTAGGGCAGTTAAAACTAACCCTCAAGCAGATCCCCTTGCAAGCACTCAGGACTCTGGGCAAAGTTAATGGCTTCGGCCATCTCCGCTTCCCATATGGACCATATCTGGCCCTAAACAAGCATCTACTGCTCTCCTGGGACAGCGCCCTCCTTCACAGAACATCAACTTCTCTTTGATGCTACAGTAGTGGCTACATGTCATTATACGTTTGTAACAACCTGCAGAATGTACTATATGAAAAGTAAAGTCAAATGTGAACTATGAACTCTAGATGACAATGCTGTCCCGACTGGGGAGGTTGGTATGGGGGGGTGGGCTGTGTCCATGGATCCCACTTCTTGGTTACCTGAGCTAAAAGTTATGCCTGTACTCTTCTTTCAATGTTGCTGTGAAACTAAAAGTACTCTTTTCAAAAATAAAAGTCATCTTTCTGGTAAAGAAAAAAGGCAGCCCTCATGCCTCATGAGCTGTGGTTTAAACGTCCAACAGAAGGATCTCTGAAGTATCCATAAAAGTGTCCATGCTAGAAAGCAGGGACCAACCGTATGCCTGACAGACTGCCCTGCTGCTGTGTGATTCTCTTCCTCATCCCCTCTCCTGTGGTCCTTATCCTGGAGGGACAAAGACCACAGTTGCCAAGCTGTGATGGGAAGAAAATGCTGTGAGGAAGAAAGAAACAGAGAAGGAAGTAATACCTGGGTTTCCCTTGGCAGGTGGCTAGAGGAGAGATTTGATATTAAATCAGAAAGCTTTGTCTGTTGCCAGGAACTGAGCATTTTAGTTTCTGAATTGTGACTGTGTTTGCAACCTAAAGTGACAGTAGGACCTGGGAATGAGCTGAAATGTCGCTACATGTGTTTGTTGGAGGGCCTCCAGGCACCTTGCAGAAACAAACATACATCACCCTGGAGGGAAGACTGCTCTGTAAGCCCCTCTGACTCTCAAACTTTAAATTGAACTGCATATAAAGTCTAAGTAAAAACTGCAAGCATTCAAAATGGCAAGCCGTAGCTAGTGAGGATCAGCAGAAGTGAATAGATTTAGACCATCAGTGACTTTAGGTATTAGATTTCTTAGACACAGGATACAAAATATAAAATTTTTAAAAGAATGAAATAGGAACCATGAAAATGAATGAGAACCAAGACACTTATTGGCAATGACCAGAGGGGTTTGAAAATAAGCAAATAGAGCTTCTGGAAATAAAATCTATATGTCTATCTGACAGTGAAAATTAAAACTTAATGAACATTTTTAATAGCATGTTATATACAAATTGAAAGAGAATTCACAAAGTAGAGGGAAGTCTCTGGAGATATTACCCACACAGAGCAAAGAGAAAAACACGGAAAGGAAGTATAGACATAGGAGATAAAATCAAAGGGTCTAATCTGTGTCCAATCAGAATTGAATGAGAGGATGCTGAAGATGGGTTAGAGGAGGAATATTTGAAGAAATAGCATCTAAAATTTTCCAGAGATGTAAAAGCTATTTTTCTCACAGATAAGATAAAATCAGACAGGATAAATAAAATGCATGCTATTGTAGTATTTCATTGATCACTGCAGTATAATAGATAAAGTGATAATCTTAAAAAAAGTTAGAAAGAAAACAGAACTTCTACAAAAGAAGGAAAAAATGGTGAATGTCAGAATTTTTGCTAGCAACAGTGAAAGCTAGGAGAGAGAAAAACATGACATAAGAATCTTAGAAATGGTACAAGTAAGTAGTTATCTGAGATTCTAGCCACAAGAAAACTATAGCTGAAAGGGGCAAAATAATGCCATTTTCAGACCTCCGAGAGACAAGTACTACATGAAGTTTCTGAAGGATTTACTTTAGAAAGAAGGAAACAGATTCCAGAAGAATACCAATAATTAAGAGTCTAAAGCAGTAATATTAGCAGTTGTCTCCCTCGTGGGGATTTAAAAAAATAGATGAACCCAGGATAAAGGACAATCAAAGCATGTGGGCTGGAAGGCAGGTGATTAAAGATAAAGGTTTTGTATTTGTCAGGAGGAGGGTAAAGATTTGATTAACTTCTGACATTAAATTTACATGGTTATGCTGGATGTAGTGGGGCACACCTGTAATCCTGGCACTTGGAAGGCTAAGGCAGGAGGATCGCTGCAAGTTTGAGGCCAGCCTGGGCTACATAGTGAATTCAAGACCAGCCTGAACTGCACGGTGAGACCCTATCTTACAACAAAACAACAAAACAGGAAAACAAAACAAATTTGCATGGTAAAATTTCAAGAGCAAATCCTGAAAGGATAAAAAGAGCTCATAGTATTCAAATTACAGAGGGAGAAATTTGACTAAAAAGTAAAATAAAAAGCTCAATCCAAAAGCATGGCAGGAAGAAAAGAAGTATGCATAATGTGCAGCACTAGAAAACATAAGAAAATACAAGGTAATATTTTTGAAATGGTGAGAATAAATTCATATAGTTCAGATCACAACGAATACAAAGGACTTGACAACTGAGAAGTAGAGCTGAGTCAGACTGAACTGAAAAAGTTCAGTTATCTGAGACAACAACTTGTGAATGAAGACATAGGAAAGTTAAAAGCAAAAGCATAAATCAAGAAAACAAAAGAAAACTAATTACCCCCCCAAAATTTATACCATTCATACCAAACAGGATGAAATAATTGTTAGAGATATAGAGGGTAACCAGGTGAATTTAAAAGACTTAATTTACCATGTAATTGTTAGTGCACAGCAATTATAAATTTATATGTACTTAATAAAATAGATACAAAATACAGAAAGCAAAAGTCCACAGAAGATAAAGGAGAAAATAAAAATAATACATTAGACTCTCTCTCTAGTGTTAGATTGATTTAAGAAGGCAAAAGAAGGCAGTGAATATTTGAAAACATATGTAACAATTTGACCTAATGAATATATTTTGAACCCTTTATCTCAAAACCATCATAACTGGAGTGCATGCCCTGTCCTCCAGAGTACATGAAGCATCAGGACTGTATATGAGTAGTCTGTTATCTAACAAGTTTAGGAAAGTTTCAGTGAATGACTCTCAGAAACATACTGTGGAGTTATAGTGAAAATATTAAGTGCCAAAGTCTGGGGATGATGCTAGGAAGCCAATTTGAGGAAAATCTAAATGACTTCATTGGGAAAGAAGAAAGGTTGAGAATTAGTGAACAGAAAAAGAGCCAATTTAAATTTGAGGAGAAAAAAACCCAGTAACAGAATAAGCCCAAGGAAGTAGCAAGAATGAAAACAAAATAAAAATAATGAAAAGAGGAGAAATGAATGAAATAATAAATAAAAATATGCCAGTACAAAAATATACCAGTGTCAAAACTTGCTTCTTTGAAAAACATTAGAATGAAGACACATCTCCAATGAACTTACTCTACTAAGGTGAGAAATGTTCCAAGTAAACAATTAGGATTAGTGAAAGAATATAATATAGATACAGAAGACAGAATTGAAAACAATTCTATGAAATATTATATGCCAGTAGCTGGAAAATTTAGAGTTCTAGGAATGTCTAATAAGCCAACACTAGATTAAGGAAAAAAAATAGTCCTATAACCATTATCAAAGGATAAAAATTAGAAGCTTATAATATTCCCACAAAGAACACCAAAACTGGATGATTTTATTGATGTGTTGAATCAATCTTTCAAGGAAGAGATAATTGCAATGTTAAAGAAATTCTTCCTAAAAGCACAGAAAGGGAATTTATTTATGAGAGTATAACAGTCTTGATTCCAGAACTGGATAAAGAAGAAGCTCACTTGTGGACCTTGGTGTCCCAATTCAAACATGGGTGAATTAAATCCAGTCCAGTAATGTATGAAGAATGTGACCACCTTAGGTTGTACTGGGATACAAAACTGGTTTAATGATTAAAATTAGGGTTTTGTAGTTTATCATTTATCAGATTTGGATGAGAAAAGCATTATGATTGTCTCAACAGATGCAGATAAGGCATTTGATAATGTTAAACACCTATCCATAGTTAGCATCACTAGGAAACTACAAATCATTAGACTGACAAAGTATAGCTACCAAAAACCTTTAAAAATTAACATATGTAGTGGCAAAACACTACAAGTCTTCCATTTAAAATCATATTCAAGCCAGTGTTACAGGCTATAATTACTTCCAACATTGTTCTAGACATTCAAAATTTGCTAGTTTGCTCAGGAAAAAGAGGAGACAGAGGGAAAGTAGGGGAGAGAGAGAGAGAGAATGGGAAGAACTGAAAAGAAATTATTATTTGCAGACAATATAGGTTTGTACAGAAAATCCA